CTGTGTGCAGAGGTCAGAGCAGGCCCAGGCTCTGCTCCAGGCCCCAGAGGCACGGGCAGGGCCTGAGCCCAGCAATTCCCTCACAGGAGGCAGAACTGCTGCCCTGGGCAGTGCCCAGCCCTGAGCAGAGCCCAGAGAGGCTGTGGAGTCTCATTCCAGAACAGTCTGGACACAGTCCTGTGCCGTGTGCTCTGGTGGCCCTGCTGGAGCAGGAGGTGGCACCAGCTGAGCCAGAGTCCCTCCCAGCCCGGCTGGCTCCGGGGTTGTGCCCAGGGCAGCCTGGCCGGGGCTGGTGGGGCCCAAGCCCAGGGAGGGCAGGAGGCGTCGTGTGAGGCGATGGCTGTGTGGGAGCCTCCCTGGGACACCCTTTGCCAGGCTCGCCATGGGCTGGGACAGTGGCACTGAGCAGGGGATTCTGTGAGGCCACACAGGAGCTGTGTGATTTACACACTGCCATGCTCTCAAATCCGAATTAGTCACAGAACCATAGAATGTGCTGAGCTGGAAGGCACCCACCAGGAACGTGGAGCCCTGTGCAGGAATCCCTCCCTCCGTGTGCCTTCACGTTTTGGGTTAACAGCCTGAGAAGAAGCCAGCACCCAAAGGCAGGGCTGTGATCTTCCTGGTGAGCCCTGTGCACAGGTGTTCACACACCTGTGCAGAGCCACTGCACATCCCATTTTGCAGCAGGACCACTGGATCAGGACAAGACCCCGCATGCCATTCTTCCTTGTGGATCATGACACTGCTCAAGATCTCTTCAACAAACAAGGATGAATTCTAAAAAGCCTTCTAGGAGTGAAAGGGATGGATGGATTTTGTTACTGCAGAAAGACACAAGCACCTGGAAGAGGAAGTAAAGTGTAATTCCCTCCATCCTCAGCGTTCACACCCTTTCTGGTTCAGTGACACAGTGGAGTTCAGCCTCACAATGCTAGAAAGGAAATTTGATTCCTTGCCTGAAGTATAGAAGCAGAGAAAAGTTGTCGCCAATTCTTTAAACTTCATGGAACTTAAGGATCTCCTGCATTTTCAGGTGACTGATGTCCTGACAATCTGTACATGCTGTTTTCAAAATTCACTGTAGTCGTGTTCATGAAGAATTTAGTGACATTTTATTGTGTCTCTGCTTTGGGACTTTCTGGCTCAGTGGGACATAGAAATCCCCTGCTTGTCACTGCAAGTCACACCTGGGTTTCACTGGGTGCTCCCAGGGCATCTTCACATCCGTGGTCATAATGGTCAGGAAGCCACAAAATCTTTTTACATGGAAATGTAAATGAAAAAACCAGGAATTACACATAACTTCAAAACCAAAGCTGGTGCTTTGGTGTTAAAGAACCCCTAGAACTGAGGTACTTTGAGAGCTCCCTGAGACATGTGTGGAATCTGTCTCAAGGAAGGAAAGCAAAGAGAGCTGGTTTGGTTTTCCTGTAACAACATAATTTTGCCTTCCAAGAGTAGATATTTTTTCTCTGATGGCACAATTATTGAAGCATGTTATTGAAGCATGTTGGGAAACATTTCAAAGCGTTGCTAAGCCAGGACCATATTCAGAAACTCTCAATTAACTTCATGGCTTGAGCCAGTCTGCTCCTGCCTAAAATACACAGCCCCAAACCTGAGCACCTTCCTATTTCAACACTATTTTATTTATGCCTTGCCACTGATCACTTTTTAGCCATCACTTAATACAAAAAATACAACAGCTCCAGAAGAACCACCCACAGACCTGCTCTAGGGGCTGGATTTGAGTAAGCAGAAGTGTCTGAAGGTTGGAGGAACTGAGTGTAGTGGGACAGGATAATGCAGCTGGAGACAGAAATGATATTTGAGAGCTGTTTAGGGGAGTGAACACAAGATGAAGATCTGTGCAAAGGACACAACAGCTCAAACACAGAGACTTGGAATCCAGACAGGAGAACTGAACAGGTTGTTGGGCATCATTCCCTGTCCTGAATGCTGGGACCAAGCGGAGGTATCTGAGTAAATTTATATCTTGCTGTATATTCTTATCAGAAGACAAAGTAAGAGAAGGTTGGGATGGAGATAGAGGTGGATAGAGAGTCCCCCCAGAGCAGCAAATCAAGGAGTTTCCAGCTGGGAACACTCCCAGCCATGATGTTGGTACTCAGTCCATGATTACAGTGTGGAAAACCATTTGAGAAGAGTTTAGAAACTGGAATTTGGCATGGGAAGGCATGAAATTGGACCCAGATAGAAAGGAGAGTGTCAGGAGGCAGAAACACTCAGTGCACAAGAGGGGTGGTGCAGGCAGAGGTTTTTAGGGTAGGGGAGAGAACAGGAGGGAAAGGAGATGTGGCAGCAGAAGCTGGAGCAGGAGGGAGGCACTGCCTGCCTCGGGTAAAATCTGCAATGACAGGGCTGGGAAAGTGGGGGAAGGATGAGAGGGGGTGTGAAAGCAGTCCTGAATGGTGGACAAGATCTTGTTCTCATTCAGCTCAGGAGGGGTCTCATGGTGGTTTGCAGTGTGACAGCTGTCAGCAGAGAGCTGGGGGAGAAAAATGAGAATTTACAAAGTTTGTGTGAAAAGATTGATGGTAAAGCTAAAATTCAAGCAGTGGGGAAGAAGGAGAAAAGGAGTCTTGACATCATTTTTCTCCTGTGTGTACAGAGTGAACAAAATAAAACAGAATTGATGCTAATAGTCTTAATCTACTTTTTCTATTGCAGAAGTGGGTATTGTTTCTCACAATACAGCCACTGGAAAAATCAGTAACATCACTGCATTGTAAGAGACTAAACACTTCACACCAGAGGGGAGACAATTAGCACTCCCAAGCTAAATAGGTTTAATTGCACGTGGGTTGTGCTGCTGCTTCAGGTCAAAACTGTGCCCAGATTCACCAGATTCATCCTAGTACTAGTTCAGGAGCAGTGTCCTGCTTGGGTTTTATTCAAATACAAAATAATGAAGACAACTATTGATGGTTTTACACACAGCACAATTAATTATATAACAAATACAAGTAAGTTAATCAGCATTAGGACCAGTGGTCTTACCATGATCTTTAAGACCACCCAGCTCCTGTGCTGCTCAGACACCTGCCAGCACTGGAGCCAGTTTGTGTTGAACAGTCAGTGCCACCACCTTGCAGGGATAACTTCCCATTTCATGCTCTCTGCTTTGTTGAAATCCCTCTCAGTGGCTGAGTTTTCAGATCTAGTTTTGGATTAAAAGGTGCAATTTGTTTTTCTCTCTCTGTTTCCAATATATTTCCCCCTGAACAGTTACAACCAGTCCATTAGAAAGTTTTTAATTGCCACAATGCCTGGAGAGAGAGGGTAAAATGTGGCAGGACAGAGGAGGAGATGATGCTCAGTGCTGCTGTGCTTGGCACTAGTTACTCTCTTTGCCCATGTCTCCTGCAGCATGGCACAGGGGAGGCAGTAAACATGTTTTAAACCAAGGAAGAGTTTGATAAGCAGTGCTGTCCCCTGCACACCCCCTGCTCCTGCTGATCCTGGTATCAGCATTTGCCTCAGCTCTGGAATGCCAGCCCCTGAAATCTGTTGCTGAAGTCATCCCTGCACTGAACTCAGCAGGCAAGCTGTTACTGAATTCATTTCTGCCAAGATTTCAGTCCAGGCTTGTACTTGGGATCCTGATAGACCCTCAAATAAATATTATTGATTAGTCATCATTATTTTTTACTGTTGATATGCAGAAGGTTGTGGAGCCTTGGATTTCTACAGAGTCCACTGGAAATTCTATTTGATTATAGTGTTTATATTGCCAGCAAGGTTCATCTTCATTGCAGGCTGAGGTTAAAGTCTCAGATTTTGTCAAAAACCCAAAGCAAAAGTGAAGCTGAACCCCTGAAGCTCAGAGCAGACAAATCCTCACCAAATAGAGCACCTAGGGATGTGGGGCTGACTCAGGACTCACATCCCAGAACACAAATAAGCCAGTCCTTGGGGTCTGAGTGGCTGTCCCAGCTTCAGCTCCCTCCTGGGTCAGAGGGACTGAGCTGCTGGGCCTTGTGCCTGACCCCCTAAATCTGCTCAGGGACAGGGAAGGCACAGTGCCACACGTGAGTTACCTTCTCCCCCTGCATTCAACATGCTCCAGCCCTGCTCTGAACTGATGGAGCCAGGAAGCAATTAGAGCTCCTGCTCCTGTCAGATGATTGAGTGCTTGCAGACACAGATTCCTGAGAAAGTATAATAGAGAAAGTGCATTAGCAGAGTATTTGTGCCTTCCTAGGAAATGAATATGGATGTAATTAAGAAAAGCTGATTTATGTGGAACTGTAAAGCCAAGGACATAAAATGAAAAATTCTCAGTAAATGTCAAGTCAGTGTTTTGTGGTGGCCAAAACAAGGCAAGGAGAGTATTGCAAAGGTATTAAGGAGCTGAGAATTAAAATGCCACTATATAAATCCCTAGTACATGAATATTTAAGACATTATATAGAATTCCAAGCACCTGATCCTCAAAGATTCTAGAAGTGCTGTTCCACTAAAGTCTGTTACTAACATTTGGAGAACAGCAAGATCACAAGACATTCTTTTGCTAGGAAAAGCCAAATGTGTGTGTGATTCCATGGTGTGTGGTGAAATGTGTGTGTTTGTAGATCCCACTAAGGCAGGAAAGCCTGAGTGGATGAGGTCTTCTGTTCCCCTAAACCTGCTGGGGTCCCACTTCACAGACTCCAAATAGGTTTAGTTTCTAAAGAGAAGGAAAGGGACTCATCTGCTTCTGGACAAACACACAGAACACAAAATTATTCCACACAGATGGTTCCCCTTCCTATCCAAAGAATATTCCTTCTTCCCAGTCTAGGCACAAAACACTGAACTCTTAAACTGCTCTTAAACAGTTTCACAGTTCTCCTAAACTGCCCCAGCCATGAGCAGTTCTTTGGAGCTGCTTCATGACAATGTGTACATGTGCTGAGGGAAAGAAAGGACACTAATTAGTATATGTTTAAATTAATATCTACAAACCACAGGACAAAGACAGGACACATTCCGGGTTTTTTTGTCCTTGCTCGTCTTTATTTCAAAATTATCCATAGCTTCTGCTGATAATGATTCATTTCCAAATGCAAAAGATCATTTAGCTTTGTGTTCTTTATTAAGACAATTATTCTTACAAAAATAGAAAAGCATTAGCCTTTATTAATTTTTCGTTTAACATCCAGTCCATTTGTGTCGGAAGGAGCATTCTGGGCTGCAGAATGTTTGATTTATTGGTGATGGTGTTTAATTGTTAGGTCACAGCAGGTCTTCTGGCCACCACACAAATTATCAAGCTTTTGCCATTGTATGTTTAAATCTACACAGACATCAGAAAATGTTTGTCTAGCAAAATTATTTTAGGATGAACTCTCAGGTTGTAGCAAACAAGGTCAAGAGCCCCTTTAGGAAGGAGACAATTTCGTTGCCTCCCAGTTTGGATTCTCCATAGACACGGTCCACAAACGAGATGGGAACCTGTTGAAACAAGCAAAAATTGGTTTTGAGGCTCAAAACTGAAACCATCAGAAATTCTGGAAACAAAAGAAGGGCCCTTGAGCTGGAGCTTGTTCAGGCATGGGGAGCAGGCAAGCACCAGGCTGGCTCCTCCGTGGCAGTCTCACCAGGGCCTTTAGTGGTGCCCCACAGCTGGGGAGTGTGGAATTGTTTATCACCTTTCAAGCTGATCCAAAGCCATTACTCATGGCTGGATGATCCACCCAGGCAGAGCATGCTAAAAGCTCACAAAGCCTGCAGCATTTCCTTGTCAGCCAAACTCAGAGCCTTTGAGTCAGTGCCTCAGGAAGCACAAATCTGCCCCCAGCACAGAACAGCTCAACCTCACCCTGGCTGGGAGAGGACTTCAGAACATGACAGTGCCTATTGTACAAGACCTGTTTTTATCAGTCTTTGGCCATTTTGTGGATTGTTTGCAGCATTTACGGGCATTTAATGCATTAATTTTGGTCTCCTTCACAAAGTGACACTGTCCAGATGAACTCACTGCTCATGAGATGTTGGGAACATTCTGCTTTCACTCCTCTGAGCACACACAAGGGACACGTGACAGGACATTGTGCCAACCCTGTGTTAGAATATCCAACCATTTCCATAATGTTTGTCTGCAAAATTGAAATACTTCAGGAACTAAAATAAAGAATTGCAATTGCAATAGGCACTAAAAAATTGGCTTGGTGTTTTGCTGGCAGTGTCAATGAGAAATCATCTGGCAAGAGGAACACATGAATCCCCAGCCCCCTGCTCGTGTGCCAGAGGGTCTCTCACGATTCCAGCAGGTCAGGCCAAGACAGAAGAGAGCCAAGGACAAGAAGATGGGAAGAAGATGCCCAGAAAGGCAGGCAGAGAGACTCAGCAATGACTCTGCTGTCTTAGCAGGGTCACCTTGATGATCCCAGTGACAATCCTGGCAACCCCACACAGCTGATCTGCAGGAAACGGGCAGAAGTCACTGAGCATGTGGCAGGACAGGGCAGGATGGCACAAGTGGCACTTCCTGACCAGGATGAAGAATAGTTAATATCTCATCTAATGAGGGGACTCCTGTGTTACCCTTCAGCACAGGAATTGAGCACTGAGCTGTTTCTGGGCTTCTACCTTCCTTGCACAAGAGGTTCCCTCACGGGTCTCACAGGCTCTTTCCATGTGCTGGAGGACACTGCACACCTGGTGAAGTACAGCAGAACAGGAGAGGTGTGCAGGCAACCCTTCAGGTACAGCTTGTCTGAGTTCTCATCAGCCATTTATTCCTTTAAAAATTGCACAGCTCAATCTCAATTCTCAACTTTGCCGAAGAAATCTTTTTCCCTGGGATGCTGTTCCACAAACAAAAAAGGTGGGAGAAAAGAGCTGCTTTGCTGGGAGGAAATGCTCTACCCTGTGTTGATGGAGAAATGCCACACATGAAGTTTAGAGAGAGAAGTACAAGTACCACAATTCTCTGACAATTCATAGCCCTGGAAACAAGGATGAAGAACTGGCTCTGAGGTTCTCCTGCAGAGAGATTCCCAGTGAAGCATCTTTAAAGATGCAGCAAGAGCAATTCAGTGAAATAAAAAAGGCAGCAGGCTGCTGGAGATAGAGAATCTAACAATTGCATGGAGTTTTTTCATTGACTGTAGGCAGCACATTCAAGGAGTTTAGAAGCAGAAAGTGTGAGAGCTGAAAAGTTGGAAAATAACAAGGCAATAGTTGACAGAGAACAAATCTGAAATAGAATCAGGCTGCTGGAAAAATGAAATAATTTGTAAAGACTTGAGTAGAGATATCTGTACAATAGGAAGCAGGGAAGAAAAGGCTCAGAGCAGCTTTGTGGTGTATTTTGACTTCTTTCTCTCCTTTGAAGAACCTTGTAAAATTGTGTGCTGCTGAAGGAATGGCAGCAGGAAGAGGGGAATAAATAACTGCACTTCAGGTCTGGCATTCACCTGACAAAGCTGAAAAAACAGAACTCTACACATGTAATTTCTTGGTATTCATTTAAAATCTTGGCTGCTTTTTGGAATTACCCAGAAGTGAGCAATCTGTGTCCCCTGGGAGGGAAGCACATGCACCCATCCCAGCTTGGCCCGTACCTCCCCAACGGTGAATCCCAGCTGCCGAGCCCGCACAATCATCTCCATCTGGAAAACGTATCCTTTGGAAACACACTTCTCCATCAGCTGCTGTAAGACTTCTTTCCTGTACAACCTGTAAGCAATTCCAAAGGAAATAAAGCCTGAAGCCCAGTTTCTGGAATTGAGAAATCCAGACAGAGTGTAGGAATCTGAACTGCAATCACTCAGCTCATTACTATTTATAAACTCCCTAACGAGGTCGTGGGAGCAGCAGTTCTTGCAATCTAATCCACTGTTTCTTCCACCCTTTCCAAACAGATTTCACAGTCCACAGTAAAGAACATCTGTTTTTACTCCAGTTCCTTGTCCAGCAGTTTCTTAATTTCCAATAAACTTTAGGAATTGCAAACCAGGCCTTACCTGAAACTCCCTGTTAGATCTGATGCCCCTGGTCTCAGCAAGACCTGAGTCAGAAAATTGGCTCCACGACTGTGAAAGAAAACATCCATGTCAGAGTTGTTTAGCACAAAAAGATGGGCACTTACTCCAGCCATGAAAAACCAGGAACAATCCAACTCCAGCTCCAGATCAGACCGCAACAGAGCTTGTGCTCCAGATTCTTTGCAGGATAAATAAATCAACAAGAACATCTGCCTGTTCTCTGGGAGGGACAGGAGCATTCCAGCTGGGCAGGCTGAGGGTGTCCCTCACACCTGCCAGTCTCAGCTTGTTCCCTGGATGTCTGTCCCAGCCTGAGGCCACTGTTCCAGCCCATTTTCCCAGCCCACCCACCCATCATTCCAGCCCTTCTTGGTGGATGTGAGCCAAAGACCTGGCCAGTGGTGGGGGGTTCTGCTGCTCAGTGGGACTCTGCAGTGTCACAGTACAGCAGTTCTGCTACAGGGATGGAACACTTGGAATTATTATGTACAAGTAACAGATTTCTGTGTGAAGAGCTGAAAAGTACTAACCTGATCAACTTTCTTTTCAAATCCCAGCCATACACTCCTCCATTTCCTTTATATCTTGTTCCAGATACAATATCAAAATTGCCTTCTTTCTGCTTTCTGTAAACAATTGGTTTTATCAGAAAAACTGGAGGAATGTTTCAAAGTTCAAGTTTCAGAGTAAGAACAATCACTCTTTCAGTACCAAATCTGTATTTTACAAACTTCTGAACAAATAAGAAGAGAGGAAAGCAATAGTTAGGGTGGCTATGAGCATTATTCAAACATCTGATAATTGTTCTCTTGTAAAGAGCTACTTCAGGGAATCTAAAAATTATCTTTTACCCACTATGGCATAGAATTTCATAGGCTTACTCATAAATAATTTATAAAGATCAACTTCCATACTATAATCAGCACCTACCTGATAAACTCTGGAATAAATTTTGGCTGAAATGAAAGAAAGACAGATCAGAAAAAAAGGGCAGGGGTAAAATAACAGCAACCAGTGAGAAGTGAATTAGAGCAGGCTGTACCCAGAGAAATGCAGCCTTACGTGGTGGGAGAGGTCAGCATCCATGATAACGATGAAATCCCCAGTGGCATACTTCATTCCATGAATGTAAGCAGTGCCTGATGGAAACACAAATAATTCCTCTCACTCTTTTAACAGAGAAATGCACAGAGAAACTTCACTTGAGGATGGGCCACGACTTGAAATGTCATTTACAAAGCAGCCCCTGCACTCAGGAGCCTCAGCAAACAGGAGTGGGCTCCAAATCATCCCCAATCCTCCAGCCCATGCTGGGCTCTGGGGGTGCAGGGCAGGAGCCAGAGCTGGGCTGAGCTTCTGGGAAACCTTTTAGAAACACTCTGGGATTTTCATGTGCATTTTTAAAGCTTGTTTGGTTACAAACAACTTGATGAAAATGCGTTACTGCTTTTGGGCTTTACTGTGGTTTTCTCAGGACCTTTTTACACTGGATCAATCAAAGTAAACAGAAGATTCTTTTATTTGCTCTTACTAATCAGAGTTAATAAGAACTTACCCAGGCCCAACTTCTTTGCTCTGGGTCTCAGAAGCTACAGGAGATATAAAAAACACATAAATGACTTGACATACAATTTTTAAAAATACTCTAAAACTTCCTACATATTTTTTTCTTAAAACAATCTTCATAAATGCAACTTAGTCCAAAAATACTTTAAAAAACTTGGCATTTATGCAGTAACAGACTGGAAAAGTATCTGACTGCCACTAAGTAAATGACAGCATCTTGTATAAACCGAGGATTATGCAGTAATAAATTACATAGATAAAAAAATAAATAAAAAACTCCTGTTCTTGAGGAATGCAACGAGACAGATTAAAAATAAATCATAAGCTCATCTTTCATCTTTCCAATTTCCTTACTCCTGCAGTCAATTAAAATGAAATGAAATCTTATCCAAACCCCACCTTCCCCTCAGGCCTGCACCCAGTACAGCAAGACTCAGCAGTCATTGCTCAGGAGCACACAGCAGTGCACCAAGGACTGACAACGCTTTGCAAACAATCCCTGATCTTGCATATTTGGTGAGAATGCAGCATTCTGAACTATCCTGAGCTTACACTGACTAAAGTGGTGTACAACCACTTGTTTAAGGATGGAAGAAAGGGCAGAATCCAGGGAATCCATCCCGGCTCTCAAGGACTTACAGTGCTTTCCAATAAAAAAAAAAAAAAAGTAAAAAAAAAATTACTGAACACACAACTCACTATTTTATCTGATCCATATATTTTTTCCAGTTGCTGAGCAACTTCCTGTGTCCCATCCGGGCTTCCATCATCTATGATGATAATTTCAAAGTCGATCCCACTGAAACGAGAATGATTTCCCAATGAGCAGGCGGGGCTGCCCAGGGGGTTTGGGGTGCCCATCCCTGGAGGTGTCCCAGGAGGGCTGGAGGTGTCCTAGGAGGGACTGGAAGTGTCCCGGGAGGGGTTGGAGGTGTCCCAGGAGGGCTGGAGGTGTCCCAGGAAGGGCTGGAGGTGTCCCGGGAAGGGCTGGAGGTGTCCCAGGAAAGGGTGGAGGTGTCCCGGGAAAGGGTGGAGGTGTCCTGGGAAAGGGTGGAGGTGTCCCAGGAGGGGCTGGAGGTGTCCCAGGAGGGTTGGAGGTGTCCCAGGAAGGGCTGCAGGTGTCCCAGGAGGGGCTGGAGGTGTCCCAGGAAGGGCTGGAGGTGGCACTCAGCGCTCGGGGCAGGGGACAGGGAGGGGACGGAGCTGGACTGGATGTCCTGGCAGGGATTCCCAACCAAGGGACCTGTGCCTCGCTGCGGGCCAGGCACACCTGTGTGCGCACGGATGGTGATCTGCCCTCCGCACCCGTGCCGCCCCGGCTCACTCCATGGCCGGCCGCTCCCCAGCCCCACAGGCACAGCTGTCACTCCGCACTGCCAACCCCGCACCGGGAGCGCTGCTCCCGCTCCGAGCCCCGGCCCGCAGCGGCTCTGTGCCGGCAGCCCCGGGCTGTGCCCCGCTACCTGTCGCCGAAGGTGCGCGCCAGCAGCCACACGACGAGGGGCAGGTTGTCGCGCTCGTTGTAGGTGGGCAGCAGCACGGAGACGCGGCCGGGGCCCCGCGCCGCCATGGCGGCAGTGACGCGGCGCCGCGCCGGAAGCGGCGGTGCGCGGGCTGCGCGAGCGGCTGGCGGCCGAGCTGGCGCGGGGGGACACGGCCGAGCAGGAGGAGGACGGAGAGCGGGAGCGGGACGAGGGAGCCTGCGGCGTGCGGCAGCCCTCGGCGGCCGAGCCGGCGCGGGGGGACGCGGGGGATGCCGAGGATGAGGACGGAGCCCGCGGGCTGCGGGAGCGGCTGGCGGCCGAGCTGGCGCGGGGGGACTCGGGGGATGCCGACGAGGAGGATGAGGACGACGACGAGGAGGAGGGAGCCCTCGGCTTCCCCGCGGAGCTGCCGCCGCTGCCGGCGCGGTCGGCGCTGAGCGCGGCCGAGATCCTGCGCTACAGCCGGCAGCTGGTGCTGCCCGAGCTGGGCGTGCAGGGGCAGCTGCGCCTGGCGCGGAGCTCCGTGCTCGTGGTGGGCTGCGGCGGGCTGGGCTGCCCGCTGGCGCAGTACCTGGCGGCGGCCGGCGTGGGCCGCCTGGGGCTGGTGGATCACGACGTGGTGGAGACGAGCAACCTGCAGCGGCAGGTGCTGCACGGCGAGGCGCGGCGCGGCCGGCCCAAGGCGCGCTCGGCGGCCGCGGCGCTGCGGCGGCTGAACTCGGCCGTGCAGTACGTGCCGTACCGCGGGGCGCTGCGGCCGCGCTCCGCGCTGCGCCTCGTGCGCCAGTACGACATCGTGGCCGACTGCTCCGACAACGTCCCCACCCGCTACCTGGTCAGCGATGCCTGCGTGCTGGCCGGCAAGCCGCTGGTGTCCGGCAGCGCCCTGCGCCTCGAGGGGCAGCTGGTGGTGTACAACTACCGCGGCGGGCCCTGCTACCGCTGCCTGTTCCCCGAGCCGCCCCCGCCCGACACCGTCACCAACTGTGCCGACGGCGGCGTGCTCGGCGTGGTCACCGGCATCATCGGCTGCATGCAGGCGCTGGAGGTGCTGAAGATCGCCTCGGGCATGGGCTCCTCCTTCAACCGCTACATGCTGATGTTCGACGCCCTCGAGGGGAGATTCCGCAACATCAAGCTGCGGCCGAAGAAAGCGGACTGCGCCGTGTGCGGCGACAACCCCAGCGTCACCTGCCTGCAGGACTACGAGGCGTTCTGCGGCTCCTCCGCCACGGACAAGTGCCGGGCTGTGCAGCTGCTGCCCGGCGCGGACAGGATCTCCGTGCAGCAGTACAAGGAGCTGCTGGACGCGCGGGTGCCGCACGTGCTGCTGGACGTGCGGCCGCCGGTGGAGGCGGAGATCTGCCGCCTGCAGCACGCGCTGCACATCCCGCTCCGCAGGCTGCAGGAGAGCGACCCCGAGGCTCTGCGGCGCTTACGGAACAGAATTCGCCAAGAAAAGCAGAGAAATGATGGCCGAACCCCTCTCCCTGTGTATGTCGTTTGCAAGTTAGGAAATGATTCCCAGAAGGCTGTAAAAATTCTGCAGGAGTTACCGGCCGAAGAATTTGGTCCTGTGTTAGCTAAGGATATTAAAGGGGGGCTCATGGCTTGGGCCGCTAAAATTGACTCAACGTTTCCTCAGTACTAGAATTTTAAATGGTGAAAAAAACCACATATTTTCAGAGTAAGTTCTGTAGGGTTCCATCTCCTCTGTGTAATGGCTATATCACGTGGGAAAAGCAGACAAATACCATACTGCTTTTTTATGTTGTCTTTTTTTCCTAAGAAAAATTGCTTATTTTTGTAGCTAGCTGATTATTTTTATAAAAATGTAAATCTGTTCATGAAAGTGGAAAGAAATGTGTTCCTTGGTTATGATTTAATAGTAAAAACTTGGCATAACTACTGACCCGTGCACGTGGTGATTGAGAACATCCTAATTAGCAATTGTAACCTGGAAAACAACAAATCACAGGAATCATGTTATTACTCAGTCTCTGAACTGCTTAACAAATTGAAACAGTGCATGAAATGAATAAAAAATAATTACTGTTAATCTCCAGCTGGTCTGTAGCACGATTGATCTGTCACAGGGAATTGCCAGGACAGCTCTGGTGGGACCATGGTGGTCAGCACCTTTCCGTTCTGTGTGGAAGCCGTGTGTATTTATGGACTGGAACAGCACCAGGGTGTTAAGAACCTCCAGAGCCATCCATCCTCCTTTGCTGGATGGCAAAGCAGTGGATTCCCCAGCTTGAATAGAGAAACTGAGGTTAACTGTTAATAAGACATAAGTTTGACCCCTGAAAGTTGGTACAGCAGGCAGAAAACGCTTTTATCAGTGCTTAGAAGATTTCAGAGATTGAGAGATAATGAGGAGGTGAGAGAGGCAAAAATGAGGTGCTTGTCCTCCCTCCTGCAAGGACAAAGACCTGTTTCCTGAGTTTTCTCCCTGTTGCTGTGGCAGTGGCACCTCCCCAGTTGGATTTGCTGGCTGGCATGAAGAGCTCTGCACATCTGGGGAGTGTCTGTACTTAGCTGAATGAAAAGAAAGAGAAATAAAGAGCTTCTCAACAGAGCTGCTTGAGGCCTCATCACCTCAGCATAGCAATTATCTCCTTACATTAATTAAGGTATGGATTTCTTTACATCCTGAGGAGGAAAAAACACCTGTCATGACTAATCTTCACGTTGTACTGGGGGAAAAAAAAAGAATAGTGCCATTATAATTAGCAGTTGAAAAGGTGTATTTTGGTAAAATAAATTTGAGAGCAGCCACACTCCCAGCTGCATTATAACGTGCCATGGTTCTAGCAGTGGCAGTCTCGTGAAGGAACAGCAGTGGATTTGTAAACAGAGAGTCACATCTTGCACTTTAGAGAGCAATGAAAACATGAAAGGCCAGGAGTTAAATAAACTTCAGTGTTTGTGGTGTGTGCCCACGAGTCTTGGGCAGTGGAGGCACAGCTCAGTCACTGATTGTGGCTGGATTCTGGGGCTTCCTCTCCTGGGAATTAGAAACCAGGGGACTTGTTTGAAATGCCTGACCTGGGTTTAAATTCTTCTGTCTTCACTGTGGTTTCTCTTCTTCACTGTGATGTCCAGAAGAGGCTGGAATGTAAAAGGCAGCAGTGGCAGTAATCCTGCACTGCCCACGGTGGGTGCTGTGTCACACACCCCTCTGCCCTCACAAAGGCATTCCTTTCAGTCATTCCAAGCAAGGTGAGCCCAAGGATTTGGGGAGAAGGGAAAAACTCTTTGATTCTAAATCTGCGTGTGTAGAAATTGTGCGTGAAGTCTTTTCCCTTGTTCCAGGATTGTTTTGCCTGTGTTCTCCTGTCAGTGCAGTCCTTGGCAGTGCTGAGCTCTTTGAAGATAGCCTGAACAACCAAGGATCATAAAATCATAACTAAGCCCAAACCATTCTTATTATTGCTGGCTTATCTTTTGTTTTGACTTGCTTTAATTCTTCAATTCCAAGCATGTAGTGGTTTGGTTTCTCTGTTCACTGGGAGAAACTCTACTTAGAAGTTCTAAGAGAAGCACTAAAACTTTCTGATTTGTATTGCTGCCAAAGAGCTGTTGAAAGGTTGGGTGTGTTGACATTGTGAATGAAGAGAAGCTGCTTTGACCAGGGAGCACTGAGCGTGGCTGGGCTCTGTTATCAGGAGGGATGAGGTCAGGACAAGATCTTGGCCTTTGCCCTCAGTGTCACGGGGTTGCATTTTCTAATAAAAACTTCACTGTTCAAAACAAGCCTTGCCATTAGGTCCTTAAAATACCCCAAGCATAAGTTTATCCTTTTTTTTTTTTTTTAATGCAAAAGCTTTGAGCTGTCCTTTGTGAAACTACAGAAAGAATAATGTGAGGGCTGTGTGCTAGGTGGCACTGCAAGTTAATAAACCACAGCACTCCCAGGCTTGAGAGATGCAATTCAAGCTTAGCAGGAGCTGAGGTCTCTTGTACAAATCCATCATTGTGCAGGTCTTTTGAAAAAAAGACCAGGGAAATAAAAGAAAATGGAGATGAATATTAACATGGATTAGGGTAGTAAAATTTGGAGCTATGTTAATAACAGGAAAACGCACCCACAAATTGGTTTGTGGCATTAACCTTTTGTGGTTTTTGTTACTTGGTTAAATATAGCAGCCCTGCTGCTCTACCTCACTCTGCAGCTTCAACATTTTGGTGGGAAATATGTACAGGGCAGGAAAAGAATTAGAGAAAAGCAGAATAAGGCAAAAGACAGAGAAGAAATGCAGAGTTTACCAAGTTTTATTCTGCACTCCTCTGGTGCACATCACTTTCCCCCAGTCTCTGCTCAGTGTGTGTCATGTTGAAATCTTACTCCAGTGAGCAGGTTCCAAAGAACCAATTTAATTAAGATGTTCTAAACGTTGTAATAGCTCAAATTCATGGAGTGTGGGACTTGGACAAGGCGTGGGGCATTGCACCTGCTCTGGTGGCAGCACTGACAAAGCTGCACCCTCTGTGCTGCCCTGACAGCAGCAAAGCAACTGCGACACTGCCCTCACCACAGGAAAAGAAAATCACCTCTGTTTGCCCATTCTCCAGGCTTTTAGCTTGACTGTGCTCCTTTGATCCTGTCTTTACAATGTATTCCATGTGATTGATTCAGAGCCAACTGAAATGCATCTGCGTGGTGGTGCTGCTTGGCTCTCTTGTCCTTTTCATTGTGAAGTACCTGCAATTCTGATATTTCATACTCCTGCTAGGAACAAAAAATAGCTGCCCTCCAAAATGATGGCAGAAAAGCAAGCTGATACAAATTCAGTCTAGTCTTGCTGTGGTACAAGTTTTCCAGCCAGAGAAGAAAGTATTGCTAGTCTGCATTAGGGATTAAAGTATTCCTAGTCTGCATTAGGGATGATTAAAATGATGCCATCCACTGGGATGCAGAGTCAGGCTACAGCTGCAGCATGGCCAGCAGGGTGTGACAAGGCTGTGACAGCCCCAGCCTCTGTCCTGGCACCCTCAGCTGGGTGCTGGCTGTCCCTTTGGGTGTCCTGGCCCTTTGCTGGGCTCTCTGGAGGAAGGACCAGCAGAGGGATGCTCCCGGGCCCTGCTGGGACAGGGAGCTGTAGT